AAAATGAATTGAAGAGTTCTTGAATGAATTGAATTTTTACATTGATGTTATGTGTTCAATAGTCTCAGTCAGGTCGCACCTTCGCAGGGTTTAGGAAAGGGGAAACCTTCTGTTAAATTACCACAATATGTAAGATATAGACTTATGTGGGAAGTAAAATGTACGAGTCAATGGATAAGTAAAGAAAATTCTAGTATACCTAAAATTTTCATGACGTACCATTCATCAGAATTGTCCAAATGGTAAGGTGGTCCATATAAAAATAATATCAGTAACAATTTAAATTGCAGCAGCAAATGCAATTTCGAGATAAGTATCGAGCAAAATAATTGACAGTCGCGAAAAAAGCAAGGGTTGGCAATGCGCTGCACAGTTGAGCGCATCTGGATATTAACTCGCCGTGGCCCCAACGCCCTCTTTACAATGAATGGCCTGATGCACAGAGCCCGGTGCAGTAAATTATAAGAGATAGCATCAGATAAAGCAATGAAATACAACCACAAGCAAGCTTCCACCGGATTGTTTTACTAGCTCAACGCATCCTACATTCTACTGTCGATACCTGATCCCACCTCTCCGTGAACTGGGGGCTCGATAGATTGAGGGGCTTCTTTGGGCGAACAAATCAAAATTGTGCATGGTCTTATAGATCATCCCTGTGATAAAAGAGAGCATCACTTACGGACTCAAACTCTGATGACTGTTCCATCGATCTATTTAAACGGGAGCAAAGCCTCGAAATAATCGCATGCCCCCCGAGTGGTTCATGGCGGTGAAACTGCGCCAGCTCTGTCCGAGTTTCGCAACGTAAATATTTATGCCGCAATATTTTCAGTTGGTGGCGCATGGTCCAATGTCAACAAGGAGCAAAGTGAATTAGTAATTTTTTTAATATGTATTGGCATAATTTATCAAAAATTTACGTTTTATAAGATTATTTCACGAAGAAAAAAAATTCGTATTAAAAACTGTGGTGTTTCTTTAAAGCATAAAATCTTTACCATTTTTCAAAGAATACCTGCGAGATATGTTTATAAAACATGCATTATTTGTTAAACCAGCGTACGTTCAATGCTAAAAGAAGCATTGTCGAACATAATCTATTATATTAGATGGAATTACAACCAATAACGGTGACTGCGCACAGAATGCTGTGATGCAAGTCTAGCATCAGCTTGGCTTATGACTAATTTCTGGCCGTAGGGAATTCGAGTTAATCAGAGCAGGAGCTACCCGGCCGCTTTGAGCCCGCCATCTGTTGGATTGCTCGGCATCGCAGCACTTTGGTGACGGGTGACTCAGGACTCCTGCTAACTATCTTCATAGCAATCACGGATGAAGCGAATTAGGATCTAAATTCTGTAGTCCTTCATAATACTTGACTCTAAGGGATAACTATTGCCTCCTACTCACACCTGCATTGTACATCGATTGCAGCTCGCAACAAAGCCAGGGAAAAGATACCAGTTTTGGCACTGAACATAGAAGGCTAAATTTTTCTAACCGATGAGTAATGTTTAGACCTGTTATTCAAGTTTCAGTTGATTTTTTGGATTTTTCAAAATCAGGAGTTTCGCGCAAAATATTTAGAAAATTTGTGAATCTATCGGAAACTTCCCTTGTCGACATGATGGCTGCACTATAGAACACTAACACAATACCTACAATTACACAGTACCTGATTTACTAATGAAGCATTACTTGAATTACTAATTTCTGGGTACCTGAAATACTCAATTTGTCTGGTTTATCGGCAGTAAAGTGACTTGAATTAGCAGTTGTGAAGTACTCATGCAGGAGAATGAGGCAGGGAAAGCAGCTGTCATGCGTAGGGCCTGTTACTAGATCATCAATATTGACATAGCGTATTTAGAGCGCGTTTCTGCGCCACAATTTGGCTGCAATAACGTTGTCATAGAGAGGTTGCATGCACGGCCACACCCTCGCTTAATTGATGGCTTCATCTAATTCCCTAACATCCACGATACTTGCCCGCTTGCATACCGAGCTGTGAGACGAGCAGTGAGCTGAGTTACTGTAGTGAAACGAGCGTTGGGAGGAAGTATTAGTGTGGTGCGAGCAGCGAACTGAGTTACTGCAGTAAAACGATCGTTGGGAGGAAGTGTGAGTGTAATGCGAGCAGTGCATGAGGTTAGTTATAAACAGTCGAGCAGAAAAAGGGTTAAAAAGATAAGTGAACTTTACAAGAAAAAAATGCAGTTTTTCCATGTTTCGCTGGCAATAATGATGCATATAATCTTTGAATTATTTTAGAGAATTCTTATCCTATATGAGAGGATTTCAATCAATGAAGTTTTGCACAATAATTTCTGTCTCTGAACCATAACTAATTATAACACTTCTTAACATGTACCACCTATAAATTTTCTGATGTATTGACATTATTATATATAGTATACTCACGTACGTGTAGCTTCTCATGCCAATATGGCTGAAAATTACTATGCTTCTCAGGTCCCTTACACCAAATTCATAGTGGCATTCATCCCTAGAGTGAAGCACTAAGGTTCTTAATATTTCAGGTTAGCGTACGCGGGTATCTGGGCAGAACGCAGTGACGTTTGATTGAGCGCATTTGCAGAAACGTCGATCTTGAGCACATCGATAGTCGGAGCACGTAAGTGTGCCCGCACCAGGGAGGGCGATCGTGAGAGTTATTGCAACACCTCAGGAATACCGAAGCACTCAATACTGGAGAGACATGAGCTATAATCGCCGGTGCGACAGTTCTTATACCTCAGCGTCACTCGATACCCAAAGTGTAGCGAGACGCGACAATGATATCAGCATTATTTGGAGTATTGCTGCGGTCAGTAGTCAACAGCGCAATTCTTTAACTGTATCGAAATTTTAAAAGCATTCAGGAAATGGTGACACTTTTCTGTTATTTGGTCGGTGACGATTTTTTCTTGAACACAACAAAGTTCAATACGGGATGGAAACTTCATTCTTAACCGTAATATTGTAGACTTCATCAAGATTCACGGGATAAATTATTATTTTTAATATTTGTAGCAGTCCAAATTCAGTGAGTCTCGATCAGTTCGCTCGAATAAATCAAATCATAATATTTCACAGAGTTTTTACTGACCGTCAAAGAGCGAGAGAATTTTTCGGTGAACTTCTCGACCTGTATCAAACTTATCCAGGCCTGCAACGAAGTATCTTTGACATGCAAGAGCGCGGATTCGATTGCACTCGGCAACTGAAAACGCATTGCTTCTTTTGTGCCCTTTTGTGCCAGAGCTAAAACCTAAAAATACAATCAAGCTTGTCAAATTTTTTCACCGTCGAGATTCTTGTTTCAAACGGGGCATCGGCTTCAAAGGAAAGGCCACCCTAACAAACTCAAGAATTTCTCGGTCTGGGCTTCAAAAATTGCACAATGAGCTAGGGTTTTTTAACGTTAATGCGCATAAATGATTGTGATGACCATTTCGGCAGAAGTAAGAATAGATACAGAAGATTATTCGCTTTAATTGCAGCAGAACGAATAAATAAAATCGAGGTAAATAAAGTGAAGAGCGTTGAGAGAAAGTGAATGGTTTTAGAGCTCCAAGATGATTATGTTACCCGGGACACTGGGACGAGAAATGACACACCAATTTAGCAATAAGATTAGAAGCTTTGGTCAGCGGTGCCCACTGCCACTACTGATATCGTCAGGGAAAAAATAAACTCTTATATGATGCTTCAGCATAGACTGGGCCACTGCTCTAAAAAATTGTAGCGATTCAGGAAACTCGATTTGGATAGTATAAAACTATAGGATAGATATAGATGAGCGTATTATGACAGTTTTCCAAACATTTACAACTTGGACAAAAAATAGTGAAATCGTCATGAATAATCAATACTTCGTAATGTCAGAACTAATGTCTTCGATATGGAAAACAAAAGATTTTGATTAAGCTCAATAGGCAGTTTTTCTTAATTACAGCTCATATAATGAGTTCTACAAATAATCGCACCTGAAACAAGACACTTGCGAAGTTTTCACAATAATGACATGATAAGTTGTATTAATTGATGGGTGTGAATTTTGATTATATTTACACCTAAACATTCTTTGCTTCACCATGCATTGGTATGATGATTTTTTTGATAGTTTAAATATTGAGCTCTGAATGATTTCAATCAGAATTTTTTTTGCAGATGAAATATAAGTATTTAGCGGATAAAAATGGCAAAATACTTTAATGGCAAATGTTCCTCAAAAAATGAGGACCATAGCTAAAACTATAAAAATACTAGCATAAAATTTCAAGAATCAAAAAATAGTAGGCTCATCACGAATCAAATGAGGCGAAAAACGATAGAGGTTTGTAAAAAAAGCTATATAGATAAATGTGCAAAATATTCACAAATTTCGCGGCAGAGCAAGCCACGTTTGTTCGAGTGAAGGACTGACTACACCGAACAGCATCAAGGACCACAGCAGCCTGCGGTCCCTGTTAACAATCCATCGCGCGGACAGCCTGATTAATCGCTCCCGCCGAACTGTTTTCGGAGGCACGAGCTCGACAGATTCCAATTAAAAGAATGTCACGTAGCGTTATTGTCGGCTTTGCTTGGGGGAACCTCTTTCTCGCAGCACTGCAGGACATCTACGCATATGCAGTCTCTTGGTCATTTCTTGTGATAACATCGCATTCGAATACATGGAACGGATTATCTAGGGTTAGACTGAGGAAACATGGTGGGGTTACTCAAAATTCTATAATTTATATAGTAGAAAGCAGGATTATATTTTTAAATCTCTATACGATGCTAATGAAGATCCAAAATCTGCAAAGATTACGTAATTAATTATAACATAATTCGTGCCGCTGCGACGTAGTTAAACCGCACGTCAAAGATCACAACAGAATGTACTTCGTGTGCGAATGACAGATAAGATAACATTCGTTGTATCAGATAAGATTCGCATCCAAACGGTGCTAACCGTTCCTGTGCTTCGTTGTCAGTGCGTGGAAGTACCTTGTGGTGCGAAGTGAAGTTCTGTCTGCCACGAATATGTGATAGTTTTATTATTGATACTTGTAACAGTGAAACTCTTTCGATAATATATTAATTTTTTTTAAATTAATTGGTGAAGAGTTATTGAAACTGTTCACACTGACAGATCGGCCACATTATCCCCTCCCCATATTAAGATCATTAACGTGGCGAAAGCATCTATTGCCAAAAGTTTGGTCGTCCTACAGAGTGTTGACATGGCTTAGAAACGAGACACCAGAGGACTGGCAGTTAGGAGATCCCCATGGAGAGATAGGAGCTGAAGTACCCCACACCCCCTCCAAGAGACGCGTTCTTCTCTTTAACTGGAATCTCTAGAATTTAATTCGAACAATGTCCGGGAGTGGCAAAGTAGTTCGGTTCGCTGATGAAACCGCAAGAAAGAGACCGTGGCAAGACTCCCTGAACACCTCGTCTCAGGTTCTAAGTTTCCTGCTCTCGACGGGAATGCTCTCGGACATTACCTTCGCAGTTGGACCCGACGGGAGGCAATTTAGAGTGAGTTGTTACTTAGTTAATTGATTGTCAGCTTCGCTGACACATCTCAAGAGCCCATCAACAATTTATCTTCAATCAAATAGAAAACCTTCAAAACATTGATGCTTCAATGTATACAAAACCTCAATACCATGCAGTGAGTTAAGTGTAATTCACTAACTAAATAAATCATGAAATCAAGCACTTCTGTTCGAAAACCTTCAGTCCGAAATCAAATCATTCAATTAGATTTAGATTAAGATTAGTAACTCAGTGACTAGTAAAGGGTACATCGAGGCTGATGATTGTGTACCGATTTAGATTGAATTTCGCAAGACAAATGCTGCCATGGAATCAACCACGAATGTTTTCAAAATTCCTTCTTAAATTCGGTCCATCGAGTCAGTAATAAGCTTACTGACGGAGATTTGTAGGCATAATTTTAGTTTACAAAATTATCAGCTCACGTAAAGCTGTCATAAAGAGTGGTTTGTTTCTGATGAGATTTTGCTCATTTCAAGAAAATGGTTTTGCTCAAAGTGCACCAGTAAATTCTATTTCAATCAGCAGTCAAAATTCAATATTGCAGTTTCCACTATATGGCAGCTCATTGGACACTGCGAATGATATATTTGTATAGGGATCGTAAGGAGAGTCTTCAGTATTGAGTGTGCGCAACGCTGTTCTCGGTGAGCTCAAATCAGTGGCAAATTTCGAGCGTTTCCACGTCATGGCCCGCAACTAATTTGATCCCAGCTCCACACCAACCAATGATTTGAAAGAGCATTGGCAATTAATTTCAACTAGCCCGACGATGGAAAAACGCTCATATCATCAGTGATGAAATTCCAGTGGCAGAGGAGCATATTAATGAAGCCATCACGCTTTGGCGTGCCATCTTATCATGCATGAGAGACCCGAGAATTTTACTCTGTGACCGGACCGTTGACTGGAGCGCGAAGTTAATGCAATTCGCTTCGTAAAAACAATGTCCTGTGAAGTAAAAGCTGCACAGGAAAATTATGGTCGAAGTGTTGAGCCACTTACGGTCACGAAAATCAGGCGATGTCAATCGAACTCAAGCATTGGCGTCTCACTTGAAAATCATTAAGCTTCATGTACTCAAAAGCAGCTTGCCATAGGATTAATATTTATGAGGATCTTGGTAATTATGACAATTTTAAATATATATATGGCCGGTAGAATTTCCATGGTCTTGTATAAAAACACGAATAAACCGTTGTCCATTCGTCATGTTGCAGCGCTGTGCGTTTATTTAAGCCGCCGTACTTCTTCAAAGAATACTAAAAAAATAAGTAATCAAAACATCTTTTTTTGGAAGTAGGGCTTAGTTAATCATTAGCGAGGATCCGGGCTGAAAGATCATCGATCATTAGCTGGCGCGTGTAGCTCACAATATCTGCCATTTCTAAAATTTTTTGATTTCTGTAAACCTTTATTGATGTTTTACCGTAACTCTCTCGCTCTCACCACCTTTACTTGATAGATTGTGATGCATTCGGCTCATTCTACGTTAGCATCGATCGACTCAGTGTAAGGTTACTCTAAGTCTCTCGAGTACTGAAACATATCTTGTGCCGTTTACCATATTCTAGGTCGTTTAATTACTTCCGTCTTCGTATGTTAGGGTCCGCATGGCCGAAACCACAAGTATTGGAATGATAAATTATATATCTTTATATATATATATATATAAAGTGTGAAAAATACTATTTTACATCAGGCTAAAGTTGCAAGCACATAGCACCTGCGTCCAGCAGGAAAACCGCACAACATATCCCGCATAACATTAGTTCCTAATTCACACAACTTGATAAATAAATGGCATATCTGCCCCAAAGCTACCCAAACATGTAGGATTTACATCTATCTCTTCCTTATCATTATCATATATTTATCGAAATGGTCTTTACTGAGGAGTCTGATCTGTATTATAAGCAATTATTCCGCCCGATGGACCTCGAGATTGTTATAATTATTTTGTGGGCCACAGTTACATGCTTGATACTCGTGACGAGGCGTCAAGGGTGAAGTGAAGAATGCATTTGGTGTTTTCCTTGATTTTATATTTTTGGTTAACCTGCGATCTAAACGAACTAATGATTTAAGTTCCAAATATGATTATTTTATGGTCCTCAGTTACATGCTTGATACTCGTGTCGAGGCGTCAAGGGTGAAGTGAAGAATGCATTTGGTGTTTTCCTTGATTTTTATATTTTTGGTTAACCTGCGATCTAAACGAACTAATTATTTAAGTTCTTGATATGATTATTATATGGTCCACAGTTACACCGCCTGATACTCGCGACGAGAAGTCAGGTGTTCGAGGAGATGCTCGTGATCGACACGCGCTACGCCTCAAGTGATGACGTCATCGGTGTAAGGAGCGATCCCGTGCCTGGCTTCCACTGGCTCATGCAGCACATATACTGCGACAAAACTGACATTGACAGCTTGGAATTGGCACTACAAATTCTCGAGTGAGTGATGGCATTGAATTTGAATTATTCTAAATGTTCAAGTGAAGTTTGTCGAAATAAGATTAGAAATTTCACTTCGTATTAACTGAAATTTTTCACAGACTACAACCAACGATATCATTTGTTTGAACTAATAAGTTCACAAAGACCTAATTGTATATCGAGATTTATTATCTTATCAGATAATAAATTAATTGCGATACATTCAAAGCAATGTACCTGAATTTATGAATTTCTTCCTATTCAAAGTCCAAATTATATAAAATCAGGAAATGAATGTTTCTGGTTCGATACATTTGACATTCTATATTTAAATTGACAATATTTTCTGAAGAATTTTAGGAACCTGTACTATATCATCTATATGATATACACATTAGAAGTAAACAGAACTTCAGCAGGATGATCTGTTATCTGACCAACCAAGCCTGTCTGCTGGAACATAACATGTGATAATGATTTGAAGAATAAACTAAATGATAACTAATTGCATATATTATTTAAATCTTCAGATTATCGGAAAAATACATGGTGGGAGGAGCATATGACTGCTGTCTCAAGGTGAGTATCAAAGTTGAATCGAAGCCTAAACACGATGAACAATAGGAAGCAATTAATTTTTGTGACTGCATGCTTAAGAACTGCACAAAAAGTAAGAACCAAAATTTAGAAACTAAACGATTTTCAAAACAAATATCTTGTAAGTAAATTTCAGAAGAAATCAGGTATTTCACAAGACCACAAATATTGTTTGAGAGCCATGTACAAGAAATCTCTCGACATTGCTATGACTATGACAGTTTCATTTGCATTGCTTTTGATATCGTATCAGCGTTCGCGAGGATAAAGTTAATTTAGTGCTCTTGTTTTGTACTTCTAAAGCATGTAAATAATGTTTATGACTCAACTTTAAAGTGAAAGAAAAATACAGATTAATTTTTTGAGTGTCTTGAGTAATTTAATTAGATCTAATATATTCAAAGATTGCATTACCAGAGAACATCAGACCGTACGAGGGACCAACACATTTACAAACTTTTGGCGGTTTTGCAGATTAGGCGGTAGATCTTACTTCAAAAAATTGAGTCCTGCTTTTTTTCCAAGTCAATTTAAAAACAATAAATTATTTCCCAACCTACAATGGATTATCAACATAATTATTTAGATCCAGAAAATTTGTGAAACATTAATAAAACAACTGGAAATATTTCATTTGTTAACAGATATTGTATTTTTAACATATTCTGTTAAAAAGTTATTATTCAGCAGTACTTTTGAATGAAGAAATAAATTTAGCTGCGAAAGGTGGAAGAAGGGGAACGATATTTTTCAAAGTTTTCGACGCATTCCATTGTAAAGCTCAGAAAAGATCTGAAGTCGTGCGATTCTTTCGGTTGAGTCATTCTGCACAACGGAAAAGGGAAACGAACGAAGACAATCAGCAACTTTAGCAATCTGTGTCGGCCAAAGCACTGGTTTACTTTGTCTTTGAAGGCTTACGAGGTTTACTATTAGGGCAAGTTGTTCTGCAACGCGCAGTCCCGTGAGAGATCCGAGAGATCCTCCCCCCCCGTGGTTTCCTGCGCCCTTTTTCTCACCGTAAATAATCATTTACTTCATAGTTCACGCTTATTGTGCAAACATTTCTCTTCCCTATTGAGGTTTCTTGTTTCTCGTATTGGGCTAATTTAATTAAAATTGAAGTTTTCGTTAGTAGACGAATCAATTTATTCAATACTCATTAATCAATATATACCTACTCTACGGTCATATATAACAAATTATAAAAGTTTAAGATGTGCCTGAAAATACTATAAAACCCTCTGTTTAACTAAAGCCGCTTCGTTCTCTTAAAGTAAAGCCTCAGTGTCTTCTTTTTATATACGAGAAGATTGTCCATTTGCTAAAAGCGTATTACCACTTTTACAAAAATAAATAAAATAAACATTCTTCTAAAATTCTTCGGATTCGCAGCTTGAATAGAGTTCTAAATGAGATCAAAAGCAGCTTCCGTGCAACACAAGCCGGATAGCAGTGATAAGGCTACAGATTAGTCCGGGAAATTACCCGTGGTCGTTCAAGAAATTGAAATATTATAATAATACGGTCGCTTTACCAATAATTTCACTTAATAGGATCAAAGATCGTCCTTATAAGAAGCTTATTTTTGCTAGCCCCTATTGATGTTTTGCGGTTGTGATATGGGTTGTTTGTAAACAGCATATACTTTCAGTACATCTAGCAGTGGCCGAGTTATGATGCTCGGAGTAAATCCTGCATCAATTTGAAAAGCCTTAAACCACAATCGCAACTTGAAAAGCCTTAAACCACATGTGCTCCACATCGCAAATATTACATACTGAGTATCAGATATTTATTTGAATCTTGCATTAGATAAATTTAAAAACATTTAGTATAATGATAAATGAATTTTGACATAAGTTCAGCTGCAGCTGTCGCACGTACACCTGGAGTCTTAGTTAAATTAGGTGCCTGGGATGCCATATTTCATTATTCATTTCTTTGACTATCGAAGGATCTGAAGTAGTTTAGTGGATAAAATTCAGATAACTTTTCTTCCATACTCATAGTAACGAAATAATAATAGGCAGGAAAAACATTAAGAATCCTCAAAAATTCATCCAGCAATTCGTATGGAAAATGATTATTGGCAAATGAATAAATGACGTAGATAAAGTACAAAATGAATCGGCAACAAAAGTATGTCTTTCATAGATAGCTATCGAAAAATTTCCGACCAATTGTACGTTATAACGCATTTCTTTGTGTAAACTTCATGTATTGAAAAAATACGGCAGGAGTCTTACTTGATGTATTTTTTTCAGTACCTGAGAACATCGGTGAAACGTAACAATGTTTTAAATCTCTACAAATTTCTGGTCTCAACTCGATCGGATAACGATGTCCTCTTCTCCTTATGTCGAAAGGTAATTAATACAAATATATTAGTTACTATCATTTAATTTCGGAGGTAATTTAAACTTGAAAATTATTTCGCAATTTATTAGCCTTGCTTAAGTATAATATTCCATGCCTCCAAATAATTTTTTTACCACGAACTTTTAAAAATTTACTTCGTAGACACATTATTATCTTAATCAATAAGCGATATTGTGCTATTTATCAAAAGTTTTTCATGGAAAAAGTGTGATTCCGATTCTATTTCATTCAGAACACATTGTGAAACAAACATACGATGAATGCAGGGAACGAAGTTGTGTAAACCAAGTTAGGATTCTCTTACTTGTGTATCAGGTCTTTAATGTCTTGTGTATCAGGTCTTTATTGTCTTGTGTATCAGGTCTTTAATGTCTTGTGTATCAGGTCTTTAATGTCTTATGTAACAGGTCTTTAATGTCTTGTGTATCAGGTCTTTAATGATAACGGCAACTCAGTATTGACGTCGCCGGCCTTACTGAAGCTGCCAGTCAACTGCCTGACATCGCTTCTGAAAGAACCTCTCAGCGTCAGCTCAGAAGTAGTAATTTTCAACGCCGTCGTGTCTTGGTGAGCTGCCATATATCTCGCAAGTTTCGAAGTCCCGACGCTTACTAGAACGAGATCCTATAGTGCCTATACCATCTGCTGCTTCTCACATGCTTTCTGCTAATGAAATTATTTCAGACAGAGATTGCTCTTTGATTTTGGTAGTTACTGTCCACGTAATTATTCGAGAGTTTTAACGAAGCACCCTCTACTGCTTCGAGAGTCAATGTTGTATATAAACTGAAATTATGATATTGTTTTGTGTCATACTATTTTTTTCGATGTGTATTAGATCATTATTTTATTTCCAAAGGGGTAAAGCGCAATTGAAACCCAAAGGGCTCACCTGCACAGCGAAAAATTTAAGGCGGGAGGTGGAACCCTTGATTCCATACATTCGATTTTTTACGATGACGTCGGAAGATTTCGTAAAGAACGTTCTAGTGGCTGACGTGCTAACGTCAGACGAGAGCGTAGTCGCCCTCAAACAAATAGCTTTGCCTGACGTCTCAGTGGCGGACGTCGACGGTGTAAAACTCAATCCTTCGAGGGAGTGCAGGATTCAGCTCATCACCAAGGTCGGTTTATTTGCCTTCTTAGCAGGGCGAAAAGCAGGAGTCCGGTACGAGCTGATTGCTACAACCCAACTATGTATTGATGTACATTTTTTTGGCATCATTCCAATCATCAGTAATCAATATAATTGAATTTTCCTTAATCAGATTACTCAATAAAATTTATAATTTGGTAGAATAATTTTAATAATTTTCACACTGATCATTGAATTAGTTATAAGCTAAAACCGATTGTAGATTAGTTTCATGCAGGAAAATATCGGGGCTAGAAATTTCTTGATAATATGTTGAACATTGTTTGCATGGTTGAGAGAACGATATGAGTACACAGGCTGGCGAAGTTAATTTCAAAATGCTTTACCCTCTTAACGATGAAAGGTCTATAATTAGGTTTTCTTGGCTAAACAGCAAGTTAGAGAGATCCGATATACTAAAAATTCTTTGTCAGAGAAAAATGGATTAAAATTGATTTGAAAACAACGATAATGCCAATAAATCTATCATAATTTCATTAAAAGTTTTCAGGGATCAGCTTCAATACTTGTTTAAAATTCAAGGCAAGTGCAGTATTATACAGGCGAGAAAACTTACACAATAGCTAGAGCAACCTAAAAGATTAATATGTGGCTTCTTCAAACTATCGCCAGTCATGAAAAGATCCGGTCAAATGACACGAGTTTAGATTCTATGAACATGGCACGAAATGGAAAAGAATCGGCGACAGGCCACATCAGGCCTACACTTCAGAGCCGACATCACTATGTTATGTGGCGAAAAAATATAAACAATTTCAAACGGTACAACTCCCTAGTTTACAAGTATACATGCATGCGAATATTATGCGTAAGCGTGCGTCGGAATGACGTCGTGCGACTTTTATATAAGATTGGCCAAAAACCGAGTTATCGTTCTGAAAATCTACTTGCTTATCCGCTTTTTCCCGTTGCGCATCTTCACGCTGAAATGTGTCATAAACATGTGTTCGATGATGATTTTGAATATTTTATTTCATCTCAGGTGCTGCCTGTTTGAGGATTTTGGAATCCATTTATATTTGTTAACGGAAACCTAGTCTGAATAGCGCTTTTAGTCCGGATCCACTTTAAATTGTCCACATATGGATAGATGTATTTATGAATTTTGAAGCGATCTTGAATTCAATTTTAGTTGCATTTTCTTTGCTGCTGAATTCCAGGTTAATTCGAGATTTATGGATATGATATATAGTAATATTTTTGCATAAATGGTGAATAAAAAAACTTGCCGCACGGGAGTTAACTCTTTTTACTCCATTTTGCTTGGACGTTTATCTAATTTGATAGGGCAATATTGAAATCATTCAGTGTCTATGGATTTCATTATTGAAAGTTCTAATTTTCATGATTGTATGATTATTAGTACCTATCTATTATTAATTCAATTGCTATGTCTATACTTTTATTAATACAACTCAGTAACTCATGCCTGTTATTTAAGTAGGTACTACTCAATAAGTATTATAGTTTTTCTATGACAATGCACTATATTGCAATGTTACCATTGAGTTTGACAATTTATCAGCATTGACTGATTATCAAATTTATAGTAGTTCAGACTAACAACCAATGATAATATGAATAACTCAAAGTGTTCGTTTTAGTTATGTACAACACGATCACTAATGTAATTTCGTGCGTTTCAGGAGCGCACGAGACAGTGCGTGTGTGAAGGCGTGACGCGATCGTGGCTCACGCGCGTCTGCTTTGAGTTTCATCTCACGGTCTCTGACAACGTCGTGCTGCTCGGCCTCAAATTCCTCGTCGAGAATTCCTCTGCCCCGATTGATGTCAGCATTCGTCAGATATTAGCCAACTTTCTTTTGAATATCATATTTGGGTCATTATACTCGGTTATTTAATTCTTCTGAGGGATGATGAGATTATGGTATTGATTCTAATTGGGTTGCAAAATTAATTGTTTTATTAAAATAATTTAATGAAGCTATTTTGTATCAGTACACAAGCGAACAATCCTTGACCTTAGATTTTTTATAGCATATGTAATTAATATAACGATATGATTTTTAATATGACTTCATCGAATATAACCTCATCGATATGACCTCATTTAATAAAACGATATGATGTGAGGTCTATGACGTGCTAAAAAAATTCTCACATTAAATTCCAAGTCGAAAAACATGCAATTGTAGTTGTGAATGAAAATAAACCAAGTAATAATAATAATGCAAAAAATTTCTGCAGCTGGAAATATCAAGAGAAGATTCGCCGAAATCTGTGCTAAGCTCAAGCCAGTGCCAGAGCAACGACCCTCACTGCCAGAACGTGACGGCGACGTTCCTAAGTCCGCCTCACCTACGGGAAAGCGTTGGATATTTGGTTAAAATTTCGGCAGCTAAAGGAGGCTCAGGGCTGTCGATTTTCGGAGCAGAACACAAAGCTGCTACTTTTACTGAAGCTGGCATCACCTTTACGCTGGCCCCAGGTGTTTTCCCTCAAGATATTACCTTCATTTAGGAATACGTTTAAATAATTATGCTGATTTGTAACGAGATTTTTTTGTCCTAATAATGCAGTTTATGTAATTTTGAAAGGTAGAGAATGATTGAATTGTCCACTGGCTTACGCAGTGCCATCACTGAAGAAATTTGTACAATTAATTGCTTATGAAATTTGATCCGTCCTGCCTACATTTTTGTTTTGTGTAATAGTTGATCGCATTCGCATGACGAGTTTAATTAAATATTTTAATATTTCCTACTCAACTTTGATGCTATGGCCGCATTTAAGTGATTTTAATACTTTATTAATCACTCATTACTCTGCTTAACTTCAGGCATAATATTAGTTATTGATTATTTGTTATCGAAGAGCACACTATTAAATCTAATTATGATAAAACCTAAGTTATTTTCAAGTCGAAATATAAATGCATATCTTCTTTCAATTCCCATGTCAGCCTCTCAATATCAAGATCATTATAGTGAAGACTACAGTATTGAACTTAATAAACATAATTTTTCGTATTACAACTGGACATACTAAAGATTTATTTAACCTAATAACATTTGATATCATCAAACCGGCAGGGGAAGCTCCTATCACGCCCAAAAATCAACCAAAACAAGGAAATGGAATTTTTAGTCCCGATGTTAACCAATGATTTGTGACCAAATAACTTGTTCCTATTATTGAACAGTTCACGCTTTGAAAAATCGAATAATTGCACGAAGAATTAAAAATGGTGCAAAAGACCGTATCGTTGGAGGTCAAATATTCTCTTCAGAAGGATAGAAAATAGCAGATCTTTGATTTATGTTTCGTCCGTCAATTATTATTGCAAAGTTTCACTGCCTTCAGTATATTCTAAAAAGTAACCGAATTCTCACGTATTCAACTCTGCCGAGTGAACAACTCAATCCATATAAATAAAATCATAAATTATTTCCTAATCATGATAATAATCACATGGAATTTTTAAATTAGATTATTAATATTAACATCTAATAATAACATAATTTATTTCGACTTTCACTGTTCAACATCATGAAACACTCACCTCTTCCAGAATTTAAAAATTATTCCGTTCAAATTCTAACTCAACTAACAAGTAAAGACGCTAAAAAATCTATGTACCGGCTCGCCGAGTCTGGAGTTTGCCAAGGACGTTCGAACGGATCCTTTGACGTACAGCGTCCTCTCTCCGTGGCCGGAGCTCCTGCATCAATCACGGAGTCTGTGCTTGAAATGACGGATGAGAGGAAATATTTCTGGTACTGCCGCTGAGGATTGAGGGAAACCAGTCGAGGGAAGCGCACGCCAATGATCAATAAAATTTTCACCACTTACAGCACATATCATTGATAACGAGTAGAAGTATATGATTACTCAGCAATCAAAATCGTGCCAATAGTTCATAAAATTTATTATCGCAAATGAGATAAACTAAAACTTTACAAGGAGAATGGCACGTGTGAACAGAACATAAATTTTCTTCTCGAATTTTAATGTACAGTAAAATGACGTAATATGGATGTTAAAGAGTGCTGGTGGATCAAAAATCGATGAAGACTAAAAAATATAGCAAACAACTGGGAATGGCTTCGTTCTCAAAATAATTCTGCAACAGTCTCAGCCAGTGAAAGCATAAGTTGTCAGATGTATAAAAATGTGGATGCAAATCTTCCATAATTATGTGAAGCTTGTTATGTGAAAGAGAGACAATACTTCAAACGATCGGATAAGTTTAGGACTGAATCATAAGTTTTAATGAAGATATTTGTGAGTAGGCAATCGCTTCCATCATGAAATGCAATGATAAAACGCTTAAATCCAAAAATTACAGAGCAGTAATCTACATAAATATTGTAATGCTGTTGCTATCTACCACGGAGCAAATTGGAAGTGAATTCGTAAAAGGAGAAAGTTTTCCAAAGTGCAAGAACAACCCAAAAGCCTGGTGTTCAAACAACGATGGCTATATCAGCACCAAGAAGGCAAAGGTGACAAGGCTTCGAAAATCATTACCCACGCCCTGTGATCAAATTGCGAGGTATATTTATTTATACATGAAATGGCCTATCGACCAGATAAAGTACAAGTAAACCGTGTATGAATCAACTTTAATTGATTTAACTGAAACTTACACGTTTTTACCATCTCCCGATAGCTACGAAACAAAATTTTCAATCGATCCAACTCATTATTTAGATGCAGTGACTGCTACAGTAGCGAGCTCTACGGGGCGAGCAAGAACAATTACTGCTCAATCACGAATAAGCGGCCCATAGCAAATCAATGACTATTGTGACAGCTTTCGCGGACAATGTTTCATAGAAGATGTGAAAAACATATGATTATTATTTATGGTCAATACTTTATGAGCTTGTGTTTGAACTACATAAGTTTCATCCACTTTACACTGAATTTGGCACCCATTTCGTTTGACATGCGAGGCGCCTTTCTAACCTCATCATAAAATTTCATCTTATTTTCTGGTTTTCACTGTTCCACCATGGCCCAGGTCGTCCGCAAACTGCTGGAAAGCTGCCGGATTGCTACCTAGATTAAAGGATACAGAGTTTTTACAGCTGTTCACAACAATACCGCAGGATTTTCGTTTTTGTCTGTAAATAAAAGAATATTTTTTGCCTGGCAGAATTTAATGAACTGGGAAACTGGGTTGTGATGTTGCAGCGAGCCGAGCTTCATCTGCATACGTGAGGAGAGCAGCTAAACAATATTGTTTGTAAAGTATAGCCTCATTCCCTGATTAATATGCTTCGGAATTTGTTATTAAATGTTAAATATTTGTTAAAAACTTCCACGCCACTTGTTTCAAGATCCCGAGTATGATTGCTCCGGACATTTACCCACAAAATTCTCCGTGAGGTTCAACTTTTCAAGTTTGCAAATAAATGCAACAATATCTGTTTAGTTGATGAACTTATACAGCATGTCTCGTGACGATGACCTTTGGTCCGATTATAGAAGCTTCGCGGTCACGAAATACCACCTTATGTTGAAATTCAGCCTCGATCACTCTGTAATTATACCTATAGTCTGATTATGCCAGTTAGAATATTTTTTGTGCTTTGAGGTTGAAGATAATAATGAGCTTCATTATATGGACAGCGACAATAATATAACAGAAATCCATTGAGCGAAATTTTTACGTTTTAATTTTGATGAAACAAATAGAACTATTATTCCTGTTTGCTTGTGTTGGCATAAATGACTTTGATCGAGGGCAGTCTACACGTGAGATATTTGGCACTTAAAACTGAAGCTACAACACTCGAAAAATCTATTAATAGTTTTCGTGAACGTATATATGCAAAGCCCTCGTAAAAGTGGAAACTGATTGCGGGTCACAAAATCTAATGAACGCGTTTTTCAATTGAGAGCGGAAATTAAGCTTGTTATAGTTTCAAACAATTCCTGACTATTAACTAAATAATGGCTATCAGGGAAATAGTTACTCTGAATATTTAGAGAATCTGAAGCTGAAAGAGCGTTCGAGAATCATATAACACTTACATAATTTGTGTAGGTAAACATAAATGAAAACGAGGATTGGAATAAATTGAATGTTGTTTCAATGCAGAAATAAGCTCAGCAGAGGAATCGTATTCACGGTAGCTGGATTTACACCCAATTAGACTAAGCTTCGGTCAACAGCATCACTGCCGAGCAGAATCTCCTGAAGGCCAGCAATAGGCTAGCTTTGATGTCCAGGTTGTCTTGCGCTCGCTTCTCTTCTTAAAGATTACGTCGATAAGTTGAATCTTCTAGTAAGATACAAAACGTATTTAATTATTGATGCTCAATTGCTCATAAATCGTTTCAAAGCTTTCCAGGGAGGGTTAAATTACTGCTAGGATTTTTAGAATATCATTTGCCAGATTAATTGAGAGCTTGCAGTCAAAAATTTATTTTATATTATTTATTTCAGTTTCTTCAATGAATATTAAAAATACACACGTGGTAGACGAACGTTAGAAGAACACAAGGCATAACACAATCAAGTTGAGAATCAATTTATAAGACCTTGCATGAATTATTCTTCCAAACACACATAAGTTATTGAGTAACAAATAGGTTCGTAGTGCAAGTCATATTGAGTGCGACAGCTATCAGGTTATTATGAGCATCTTTATAACGTTCAAATTGGAAACTAATTGCCAAGTTGAATCAAGTGAATGATACTTTAATCTCACATGTTTGCTAGAAGCGACATGCAGTTCATTCCTTTGAAAGAAATTGCTTCCTTCCATTGAAGATCGTAAGACACTGTATAAATATGCTATAGTTTTCAAATTAATACCATATATTCCCCTGCACGTAAAATAATGATATAAGCCACAATACTTATTATTAAAAAATAATGATATATTAGACGTGTTAAAATAAATAATATATGGTCCAATATTAGCGTCCGTATTTCACGAATTGCAGAACTGATTCAAAACGTTTTGACACGCATCAAAATAATTTCCAATATTACTACTATATATTGATATTCCGATCCAAAAAGTGAAAATATTCGCCCAGAATCTGCGATCATAAGAAAACACAGTCGGCAAATTTGATTAGCAAAGCCTTACCAGCTGCTATCAAATTTGCTTAGTACAGCGTTACAAGACTTTAACAGTTTAACTGAATAAGATCCAGCCGGCTTAAGATCCAATTTTCTTAGTACAGCGTTACCAGCTGTTTTTTATACGAGATACAGTCGGCAAATTTGCTTAGTACAGAGTAACCGGCCATTAACTGCATTACAAAATACAGCTGGCGAATTTTCTTAGCAAGGAGTTACCAGCTGTGATCAGTGCAGTGTAAAGCCGGCGCACTTTGGAGCGCTTCCCAAGACGATCGCATTACCTTGCCACTGGTTTCTTTCACACGGCCACACCAAGCCTTTTTCTATCCCTGCATCCGGTGAAAAAACGATACTTGTATCACTGATGCCTTAATATGTATATTAATTTCTATCAAGATATGTTTACAACAGGAAAAACACTCCGAAGTCCAAATTCTCATTCACCAACTGCCAAAACTAAAACAAATATGGCAGAGAAATTTTGAAATGAAAATAAAAATGAATTCTATATTGCATTTTATTTGACTATTAGTTTTTTCATGCATTTCGAATTTCCTTAGACACTTTCTATCAGGCGGAGAAAAAGTAACACGTCACTCATGAGTGTGAGCAGCCCTTCCATGTTCCCCCGAGACGCCAAAAGCACGGAACACTTCCATCTCTGCAACCTCCCGACATAATATATAAGGAAGGCGACTTGTGAGCCATTGTCTCGCTTCGGTACATATTCGTTGGCCTCTGCCTCTGAGCTATGCACCATTTTCTATGGGATTCGCTCGTAAATTTTCCTCGAAAGATCTCTGGTAATTGTACGAATATTATTTATGCGATTCTGTATTTTTATATCTCCGCTGAACAATCCGACTTCTGCCGTGCAGGAATATTACTGTCGAACAATTCTACCTAAAAAATACTCGCGTCGAA